GGACGGGACGGGGCGGGTCGTGGTGAGGCAGAGTCGACCCTGGCAGGGTCTGGAGTGGGGACCGGGGGCGTTGAGGGGCCCTGGGTATAGCCGGCGCCCCCTGTGAAGGTCCTGGGAGCTCGGGCCGGGCCCTCCGAGCCCAGACGGCCGCCGCCCCCTGGCTTCTCTGTCTTCGCTTGCCGCCCGTGCACTGTCCCCGGCTGCTTGCAAGGCCGTGTGCTAGCTGGAAGAAGGGGGAGCTCGTGCCGACTTCCTAGTGCGGATGAAGCTCAGATTTTGCTTTTCCTGCCACCTTATTGTCTTTCTTTACGGGTGAATCCGTCAGGTACGGATGTCTTGGCAGTGGTTTTCGTCCAATGACCTGTCGTAAGCATCGTGCTCTCCTGTTGGGAGTGTCAGCTCATACTGCATATGGTTGCTTGTTTCTGCTAACGGATGTTAGCAGGTGCCCTGGGAAGGGATTGCTCCAAACCTGGTGTAGATTTGCAAGGCAGAAGTAGTATTTGCTCAGACTTGACTAGTCTGAGCTTTTGATAAAGGCCTGTGACATACACCCAATGTTATGGACTAATGTCGGTGACAGCAACAATGCTTTAAGGTATACTTTCTTATTGTAAGATGCACAGGTAAAAGAGGTATTTTATCGAGTTGGGAAAACACCAGCTACCCCCTTATCCAGAAGCTTTCTTGTATCCATAGGTTAGGCTGACTTTTCTTGTTCTGCATTACAAATTACAGGGCAATTATTAAAAGTTTTCTTGTATTTGAATTTTCTTATTTTCTTGTGTTCTCCACCATTTCCAAAGTGGGGAGTAACATCCAGTAATGCTTTTCTTCATCTTTTTCAGAAAAAGTCCCTAGAGTCCATAAACTCGAGGCTTCAGCTGGTTATGAAAAGTGGTAAATATGTGCTAGGATACAAACAGACTTTGAAAATGATTCGTCAGGGCAAAGCCAAGTTGGTCATCCTAGCCAACAACTGTCCTGCTTTGAGGTAAGCAGATGTAGGAAAAAACAATTATCTTTGCAACTAAACAGAGCGGTTTTGTGCAGACACAACATGTGCTTCCTGTTAATGGCTATGGTGAACTATATTAATGGAGAGAACTTTGCTGGTGTAGTCCAGAGTGCTATGAAATAGGAGTAAAGGCTGGTTTGGTGTAAAATGATTTCAGGTCTGGATGTGTTGAAAAGATTCCCAACGTTTCTCTGGCTTTCTAATTCAAAGAATTTGCAATAGTGAAGATACTGGAAGGTTTTCAAACTGTGGTAGCCTTCATTAAATGTATTATGGGGTGGAGTTTCTGTGGTTTTTGAAAGTAGTGTGTTGGAAAATACACTGATTTTACAGGTAGGAAAGTTAAGGGACACTGGTTTGAAATACTTGAAGTGCACAAAATCTGCTGTCCATTTAAGTTAAAAATTTAGGTTCCTGGCCAGTGAAATTGCTTTTTTAAGAATGAAATCTTTATTAATGCTTTAATGCTTTTCTTGTTGAATTTTCGAGCTCTTTTTGTCGCAGTGGATATTGACAGAGAAACTGTAAGTGCAGAATATGAGAATTAGATGCTTGAGGAACAGCAGGACTGTTACAGTAGGCAGCATGTTAGTGGGGATTCCGGAAGTGCCTGGGGAGCTGTACTGACCACCAGAACCTCCTGGTGCAAGTCAGAAGAGAGGGGAATATAGATGAACTATTTTTTTTTTTTTAAGAAGAGCAGAGTTTCTGTCACAGCTGGTGGCAGCCGGGTCTCTGTTGGGCCCCTGGCGGCTGGGCTTGGGCCGGGTGGGGGGGGTGGGTGTGACGGGGTGGAG